TTGCTGCTGTTATTATTATTAGATCCAATATAAGCTGAGTGACTTAATGGTAGTTTATGGATCACTCTGATTCTTAGTTATCTAGTCTATAAAAATGTATCTATCCACCAAGGTTACCTGTATATGTGACGATTAAATGAGATCATGATTAGCAAAATGTCCTGCGCTGCCAGGATCCCAACAGGCATTCAAAAATGGCCCTCATTATGGTGACTAATTATTCTTTTAGACAATTAGATGATATAGATCTTCCTTTAGAAAATTATATTAATGACTAATTTTTAACACAACACTCTTGATAAATTTCAGATGTGTTCTGAGCTTAGTAAACCAGAATACCAATCATGATACACCTCCATGGAGACTGGAGAAAAGCCCTATGTTCTACTTCTAGAATCTTCTTTTAATGACAGCGTCCTGAAAATTCCATTTATTTCCACCAAGAGTAAGACTCAGAAATGTTGAAGGAGAAATGACTTTTAGGAGTGATATACCAGGGCTTTGTCAGATAATTAATGGACTAAATGCATAATCCCTAAACATACCCCTATCTCTCTTGCATATTCATAACTTACTACAGTTTTAAGAGAGTATTTTTGGTTTTAGAAAATAAAAAAAATTTGCAGTCAGATAGAAACCATTTTCAAGCATGACTTTATGACTTAGCAACTTCTTCAGTTTATGATCTTGAAAAAATGGGGATAATAATGTCTCAAAAAAATTGAAGGGTGATTGAGCAGGTTACTACACATGTAGTTTTGCAGAAGATCAGCCAATACATCAGGGATTCTCCATAAACATAATAAACAATAGTTTATCCTCTTGAAAATGATTTGAAAGGGACTAACTGAATTTAATATGAAAGACAGTGAGGCCATATGAAGAAGGGCTGGACCAGAGACAGTCTGTCTGGGCTGTCTAATTTGGGAAGCTCATTTACCTTGACTTATTCTGTTTCCACATCTGCATAGCAGGGACAATGCTTTTCATTCTGCTTGCCCCAAAGGGTTGACATAAAAGAGGAAAATACACTAGTGTCTGTAAAAGAGCTTTTAAAACCATATGTACTGAATTTTTGCTCTTAGCAATGGGTAGATAAGCCTCTAGGCAAAAACAATGAAAACAAACTAAAATGTGTTTAAAAGTATGTTTGAAGACATCAGAGAGTTACCAAGGAAGTGAACTCTTCATGAGCCAACATTCAGAGAGAAGAAAAACCCAGAGAAGCAAACCTGACATCTGATGCCTCTGCTCTCTCTTTAAAGAGAATTCTAAACCAGCAGCTGACAAGCCATCTCACAGGGTGGAGGGAAAAGAAGTTGGCACTTAGGGTCTGTCAAGGAATGGGGGCCTGGAAAAATCCCCTGGCTTCAATTGGGACCCTTAAAGAGCAAAACTCTATCAGTATGAGTTGACAAGAAATAGATCTGCCTTCAGGAAGTCCAGCTTTAGATCAGGCAATATCTGATCAGATTAAAGTGATCTGTTCCTTACCTTAACTGCCTGCTGGAGC